ACGCCAGACATAATGGGACACACACCTTCCAAAAAGTTCAACTTTTGTCTCGTCAGTCCACAGAGTATTTTTCCAAAAGTCTTGGGGATCATCAAGATGTTTTCTGGCAAAACTGAGACGAGCCTTTATGTTATTTTTTCTCAGCAGTGGTTTTCATCTTGGAACTCTGCCATGCAGACAATTTTTTCCCCAGTCTCTTTCTTATGGTGGAGTCATGAATACTGACCTTAACTGAGGCAAGTGAGGCCTGCAGTTCTTTGGATGTTGTTGTGGGGTCTTTTGTGACCTCTTGGATGAGTCGTCGCTGTGCTCTTGGGGTAATTTTGGTCGGCCGGCCACTCCTGGGAAGGTTCTCCGCTGTTCCATGTTTTTGCCATTTGTGAATAATGGCTCTCACTGTGGTTCGCTGGAGTCCCAAAGCTTTAGAAATGGCTTTATAACCTTTTCCAGACTGATAGATCTCAATTACTTTCTTTCTCATTTGTTTCTGAATTTCTTTGGATCTCGGCATGATGTCTAGCTTTTGAGGATCTTTTGGTCTACTTCACTTTGTCAGGCAGGTCCTATTTAAGAGATTTCTTGATTGCGAACAGGTGTGGCAGTAATCAGGCCTGGGTGTGGCTAGAGAAATTGAACTCCGGTGTGATAAACCACAGTTTTAACAGGGGGGCAAACACTTCTTCACACAGGGCCATGTAGTTTTGGATTTTGTTTCCCCATAATAATAAAAACCTTCATTTAAAAACTGCATGTTGTGTTTACTTGTGTTATCTTTGACTAATATTTAAATTTGTTTGATGATCTGAAACATTAAAGTGTGACAAACATGCAAAAAAAATACAGAAAAAGAAATCAGGAAGGGAGCCAACACTTTTTCACATCACTGTATATATAATCGCCCTACATATTAAAGTCAACATGAAACTTCATTCATAGCCCATTTTACTTCCATAATGTGACAAATTTCTGAGTGAAACAAATGACTGGATGGTCAAACGTGGTCATTCCATACAAGAACCAGGAATCAAGCCAATTTTTAAACTATTTGTTTAAAACTGTGACATTTTACTACATTAACATTAAAAGAAAAAACATTTTGATACTTGAAATAGAACATAAAAATATGATTTCAGGTATTTGCCAAGGAAACATTTCTAATTTTCATTAAGTTTACCTTGATGTACTAACCTGATAAAACTGCAACTGTAAAACTGTAATAAAAAAAATGGATAAAAACCATAAGCATTAAAAAATATATAATAAATAAAATAAATAAATAAATAAAAATAAAACAAAAATGGAAAATCTAAAAATAAAACCTAATTCAAAATATTTATAAAAACTATAATAGTACCTCAATGATGAATTATGATTAAAATAATACTGTTTATAGACGCATAACAAAAAAAACTGAATAAAATGTTTCTGTTGTACTACAACAGTGGTAAACATTATGTAAACGCTAGAAATCTCCTAGCTAAAATGAGTCCTGGTTGCATAATACCACATTGGAAATCTCATTGGTGAAGAGAAGAACAATATCCTCCACCCACACTCATTGTTTGACTGTCAAAGCAGCAGGTCACCGATGTTAAAAGATTAAGTATGTTCAGCGGCTGTCACAAGCTCTGGCTTACAGCTCAACCATGCACGACTGAACCACTAACCACCAGAACACACACGCGCGCACACACCCCACAGTCAAGCTCCTTCAGAACATGGAGGTGAAGAGTGTCAAAGACAATTAGACTTTACACATGAGATGAGACAAACGAAAACAAGACCAATCAGATATTGACAATTACAGAAGAAAATGTGACTGGTGTCACCAGGATGCTAAGGTGCTGTGGGTGGTTGTAGGGTGCTGCTATATGATTTCTAATGCATTCTGAGTGCTTTTAATGGTAGTTCCTGGAGCTTTGCTAAGATGCCAACTAGCTCGAGTCAAAAAGAGCCCAACCTTCCTCAAGTCTGTTTGCTAGATAAGAGACAAGGTTCAGAAATTAACAGGGGACTTGGGGCAAAAATACAACTAAAATTAACAAAAATAAACCACAAATTTAAGATAAGTGTGCAGAAATACCGCAAAAATGTGCAATTAAACAAATTCTATTACAGCAGATAACATTGCATCAGATTTAATGTTTTTGCAGCATTGAGCATTACAACCAATCACCCACATTTCTGTTGAGAATATGAATGCAAAGCCAATCAGAGGCATTTAGATTTGTCTGGACAATTTACATTATGCAACTTTTGTGTAAATATATATATATGCCACCTTTGAGCAGCATTAAATAGTCTGTGTTAAGTGTAAAGATGGCTTTTGTTGATGTTGATAAAACTTGATTGGTAACAGCCTACAGTATTCTGACTGATTGAAGTAACTGGTTAAAATTCAAGTATTCAACATAAAAGACAATGCAGATACATTTAATAAGGTAATTATAAAAATAACTCTTACAAAGGTAAAAAAAATAAATAAAAAATGCCCATGAAAAATCAATTCTAGGGGGCAAGTATTCAAAGCAAGTTCACCCAGGCAGAAATCACCATCAATCATCACCATTTCAAAAGTAACAGCAAGCCTCTTTTCAACAAGCCGTATGATTTGCGGGATCATTCTTGCCTGTAGTACAAACGATACTGTAGAATTGATTATGCTATGAAGTTTAATACTCATGGTTATTTAAACAACCTCCAAACCCGGAGTATAATCAATAGTAATAGTGAATTGCAAGCTTCTATCACTAATAATCTAAGAGTAGGTTTATAGGTGCATTCATAAGGGGCAGGACCACAAGGTTAAACGGTAAACAGGCTCATGTTTCAATTGCACAATCTGGGAGCAAAACTGGCCGTGGGTCAGCTAAACAACCGTCCTGCAACAGAACTACTAATTAATGAGATCGTATCATGAAAAGCTCAAGATAACAGGAGAGCGACGAGAGTAAGCCCAATAAGTAGCAAATGAGTCCTAAGGATCTGTCGACATCATGAATCAGGTTATTTGTCTTCCTGACTCAGGCAGGTAGTGAGACAGCCATAATTGTTTTAGCAGCACACAGCACATTTACATTGGACTCGCTCTCCCATTCAAATGACTAATTAGCTTAACAAGCTGCTTGGACTTTTCAATAGGCAAAGCTCTTGCAGCCAGACATAGAGGGATGGGATGTTTGGTCTCTCCATCTGAGGGAGTGTCTGAGAGAGCAAATTAAGAATAAGATGGCTAATAGGGCTGAAGGGACATACAGAGCAAAAGCATGGGGTGGAAATACAGTACAAATATTAGGATAGATGGGGAGATGATTCAAGATATGCAAGGGGGGCAGGGTAAAAAAAATAAATAAAAAATTTGACAATAATCTACATTTAAACAATCCGACATAGATTCTTAAAATCCCAAAATGACAGAATTAATCCTTAAATAATAATGATGATGATAATCATCAACATCATCATCTTTAAAAATATGTATTCTTTTTATGTAATAAAAAGTTTCATTTTTAAAAAATGAAATTTACTTAAATTATAAATTTACATTTACTTCAAAACAATATTATTTATACAGGACATGGCCACGAAAACCTCCACCTTAGGTGTGTGAATACAAAACCAAACTATACTTTGTAAACTTATGATCAGCATAATAGTTTTTAATATGCTCTTAATATACTCGCAAATGCATGTAATGCACTTTAGCGGTCACAAAAAATACTGTTTTATATTAAAAAAAGGCATCCTGACATTACTGAAATATTCCAAAATTTTATCAATATCGGACAGAATCAAAATGAAAAAAAAAAAAATAATGCAATACCCAGCCCTATATGCAACAATAATAATAAAAAAACTGCAAACACATTTAAACGGCTGAAAAAGAAAGAGAAACAGAGGAAAGCAGCAGCGACCCACCTTTCTTGAAGGCACGAGGGGGTTCAGAGAGATCGCCTAGGAATTGCGTTCAAGCAAAAGACAAAACAAGAAAAGATTGGAATAGAAAAAGAGAAAAAAAACTCAGGTGAGTAAAAGAGAAGTAGTCAGGCTTATCAAGCTGTGTCTGCGGACGGAGAGGAGAATCCCGCAGGGACAGAATGATAAAGAAAAACAAATCAAAGAACAGGGAAACGAAAGACCCAGGATGTGTTTCTGGACAGGCCTGTCATAATGACAGCCCTCCTGGGCTCTAATGTGTTTATTACATGGCTCTTTTTGTATATCGTGTTTTAATTTCACAGTTTTGCAGTTTCCTTAAAGGCTTGGCAGGCCCAGGCAGGACAGTGAATGAGCAGGACTGGGCTCAGAAAGAGAGAGATTTTCAAAGCACTTGGCTGCAGTGTGACGCCAGAGCCTCAGGCTTTATGATTTTAGCTGAACTTCAAATGGCGTGGTGTTTAAGGCGATGCCAATGGGGATTCAGGAAAGCTTAGATAAGCAGAAACCTATGGCCCGAGTGCAATATTTGGACTTCGGTGCTTCATTCAGCATTTAGAAAACGTTAACGCGAACAGGCCTCATGCTGCCAGAGAGCTTCACCTGACCGGCTTTGAGTGAAAAGCTACAAGCAGACCTTTAGTACTGGCTCCGATCAGACACTTTAAACAAGAGCCAGCCAGAGAAAATCGTGTGAACAAGGTACTGATGGCTGAACCTTTCCTGGAAAATTCGTTCACATTTCACCCCGAAATAAAAAAGAATAATCTTATTTTGCTTGAAGAAAATTATTTTTTTAGGACCAGTATTTGTTTATTTATTTATAATATATTTATTATTAATATATTTGATTTATTATACATTTTAATTAATATAGTTGAATATTTATATAATAAAATTATATTTTTGTACTTTCATAAAGTCACAAAGCAAACTAATATATATTTGCTTCATTTTGTATATTTAATAAAAATAAAATGTATATGACCCAAGCAGGTTTTATAAGATTCACTCTAGTAGGCTGTGGGTAATAATGAGTTAACTAAGTTTTAAAACTGGTGCCATGCCAAATACTGGCTGAATACAGTTTGCTGATAAATGTAGATTCATAAACAATTAAATATTTTACAGCATATATCTCTTATCACATGAAATTACTATATCATATGTACATATTATATAATAATAATGTCAGATTAAACATTTGCCCTCCTTTGCGTTTTAAGTTAGTTTATAGCTACTTTAGTTAACCATTTAGCCTACTAAACAAGCATATTCTCCTGGAGTTACAGGAAATCATATCAAACCTTCACAGAATGCTCTCAGTGTTAGAAACGGTAATAACAGTATAGTATCAGAAACACAATATTCAATCGGAAGTGGAAATATGATATTCAATTTTCCAAAGGGTATTATCTTATTTTCTTTTTAAGTGCTACGGGGTCCAACCCTGATGAAAAACAACTTAAACCAGTCTAAGCTGGTTTGCTGGTCTTAGTTGGTTTCCCAGACTGATCCGTTTTCTGGTTTTAGAAGGGGTTTGGACACTTTTCAGGTGTGCAGGCTTAACTCAGGCTGGGAGACCAGCTTAAACCAGCTAAGAGGGTTAAGCTGTTTTTCCCAATAGTGAAGGGGGTAGTAGTGGCATGACACTGATACAAAACCTGCCTCGGCAACAGTGCCATATTGAGAGACCGAGGAGCGCAACCGAGAGCCTTAATGGTTTGCCTGTGTAAATTTAGACAAGAAACGTACCCTCAGGTTCAGCAGGGGAGCCCAGAGAGTTGACATGGAAGGGGCGGAAAGGCTTTGCTTCAAAGGCAGGAACCTCCACGCTCTCCTCAGAGGACACAGTAACATCAGGCTGAAATTCAGAGATGGAGGACAGGAACTGGTCCATATCTGCCTTTTGATCCTGCAGAAGTTCATCTGAATTGGGAGATACAGAGAGGAACATGGTTAAAAACAGAAAAATCACAGGAGGGAAGAGATGCTGGAAGAGATCTATTCCTAAAACCATTAAACGAGGCACGAAGCAGTCATAAACGCGATCAATTATCCATTACGAGGTTCCATACAGCGGCATTTCCAGGCATCGGTGAAGCTAAAATGATTTCTACTTCTCTAAACTTGCAAAAACATTCTGCACAGAGTCTGGCTTAAAAACTACACATCTTCACACACTAGTGGGAATCTGGAGGAGTCTTGACCCAGTTCTGTCAAACCCCACACACTAGTCTCATCTATACTACACAATGCCATGGCTCCTCTCATAAAATGAACGAAGGAAGGGAAAAAAAAAAACATGCAAGTGCAGAGGGGCGTCTCTGGGAACAGCTTGACTGTTTCCACCTGAAACAAAGAGGACGGCACAACAAACGCTTCAGAACACTCTAATTTACTTTGATTGCGGTGAGATGTTTTCAAACTGAGTGATAAAAGGAGAAGCCAAATTACACTTTTGTGTGTGTGTGTGTGTATGCGAGAGAGCGAGAGAGAGAGAGCGCCAATTACTGAAGGCAAGCTTTTCATACAGGTGTAATTATCTTGGCATCTGAGATGCAGAGGGATTGTGCAGTTGTTTAGGGGACTAAAAGCTCAAACCAGGACAAAAGAATGCATAAAACAGGCCGAAAATCTTTGTACAGCTTTATCCATGATAAATCAAGGGAGCTTTAGGGTTTGACATCAGAGTCTAGTTTGTCGAGCTCTTATGCACACTCAAGCGAGACACATTGAAAAGGGAGGTTTGGGGTTCAGTTCACGATATGTTTAAATGTAATCAGACCTAACTTGCAAGAATGGATCCGTACTGATTATATACAATCTGCCTATTTAAGTAACATGAACTGCTTATTGTTTGGTTGACAGAGAATCTTAAACATTTTCTCCATAAGGAAAGTGATTTTTAACAATAATGTTAAAAACCTGAATGTGAGTTTGCAGTTGATAGTAAGAAATGGGCAGGGTTGAGTTATAACATTTTTATTAAAACTATGAGGCAAAAAAATAAATAAAAATGAAATGCATCCATGGATGAATTGTTGATAAGATCAATAACCTGCATTTAATAAAAGAGCATTTTATGCCAGCTTTAATATGCCAAATACCATTGAAGAACTACACTACCCATAATCCTGCACAGTGATCCACCAGAGTTTTTGTAATTACAGATAGAAAGCAGGGTTTAGCAATGACCAGATATTCCATAAAGTATCACAAATGATACAAGAGTCTTCCTACAATTAGAGAATTTCATACTCAATGATTATGAGCGAATAATTGTACTACTTACTATAGTTTCTGATTTGATTACATCATTTGCGGTATTTCCTGGGATTGTAGTTCATTCCCTCATAGAAGAATTTAAATACACAATTATTTTTTTCCCCTGTTTAAATATACTCCTTTCGCTTCCAATCAAAGTTTGCAATTTTGTGATTCATCTCAGAGTATGTTGATTTGATTCATGGCTTTTTTCAATTCCTGTCTGGAGAAAATGAATGAGAAAAATACTTCCAGAACCAAAGCCACTAAAAAAAAACTGTATGGCTGCACTTGAGTTTTGCAGGCAAACATCTCACAGACTTGATCTCTTGCGGTGGATCTGTGGCAGACAGAAGCAGTGTATTCTCAGCAGCAGACACTGTTGTGCATTTACAGTCAGTAGTAAAACCAAACAGACAAAAACACGAGTAAAACATTGAAGATGACTCCTTCTTCTGAGTTGTTACCTAGCAACAGAGGAAAATACCTGCCACTAGTACTCACCGTGTTACTCAATCTCATGATACAGATAATATAACGTGACAAAAGGAAGTAATGTGCCAAAAAAATTATAATCAAGCAATAAAAAAGCGAGAGATTTAAACAAGAAAAAAAAAAAACTCTTGGATCAGCCTAACCTACAAATCACTACAAATCCCACTTTTTAACAAGAGCACCTCTCACTCGTTTCTTGCTTGTTGTGCGTTCAAAAACACCCATTTCCACCGTTTTCTTACTCAATCTCATGATACAGATAATATAACGTGACAAAAGGAAGTAATGTGCCAAAAAAAGAATAATCAAGCAATAAAAAAAGCGAGAGATTTAAACAAGAAAAAAAAAAAACTCTTGGATCAGCCTAACCTACAAATCACTACAAATCCCACTTTTTAACAAGAGCACCTCTCACTCGTTTCTTGCTTGTTGTGCGTTCAAAAACACCCATTTCCACCGTTTTCCAAACCTGATCCAGATCTCCACACTTACCGATCTCATCCTGGATCTCCTCTGCGACGTAGGGCACCTTATAGAGCAGAGACAGGCTCTGGTTCATCCTCTCCTCAATCACCCGCAGGTGGGTCATCACCTAGGAAACCCAGACACACTTTTAAAACAGAGGACGATATTTATAAAAAGGCTCCATTCTGCAGGATGGAACATGTCTGTGGTTGTGTAATGTTGGATGGATTAATGTAACACAAAAAAAACACAAAAGCCCTGTGGCCGCAGGTGGGTCATCACCTAGGAAACCCAGACACACTTTTAAAACCGAGGACGATATTTATAAAAAGGCTCCATTCTGCAGGATGGAACATGTCTGTGGTTGTGTAATGTTGGATGGATTAATGTAACACAAAAAAAACACAAAAGCCCTGTGGCAATCTTAATGCGTAAACAGTGAGAAGAAACAGTGTGAATGTGTACGAGCAACCACGCCTGTTCCTTTGTTGTCACCACATTTGTGTGCAATGCTCAAAAACCAGCAACAGATGGCAATGAAGGGCCTATATATCTGAAGAAAAAGAAGGGGGAAACTGAAATGTCCTTGTAGACCCTCTAGGCGCCCGTCTGGACTAGGGATGTTCATTTTAACCAGTTAACCGACTGTATAGAAATTCGACCGATTAATACAATCAGTTAAACGGTTTAAAAAGTCATTTATTTAGTTTTTTTTTCAGTAATTTATCAAAATATTTAAAAAGATTTGCTGCATGGTTAAAATGCGCTACGCATATAAAAAAAAAAAAGTCGCGTATAAGTCACATTTTATTCATTCAGAAATAGGCCCAATGCCGACGCGAAATGTTTACAAACATTCTAATAAACACTAGCTAGGCTATTTTAGTTCCCCTCACTCCACAACAAATCCTTTCAATTAACAGTAGCCTATTTAGAAAAGAACAAGAATTTAAAATATAAGAGGTTAATGCAATATAAACGACAAGCTAAAACTAATTCATTTAGGCTAAAACAAAACTGAAACCAACGTTGGGGTCTCTCATTCGACACAAAATCAAATGTTGCCGTATTCGCAATGTATTTGAACGGCAATTATTTATTACGTAGCCTACTTCACTCGCGTTCCAATATCCACGTAAAACTACATGTTTTGCATAGCATCACGGCGGTACTGTGATAACGTTTAACGGCACAGATTTGACTACATATTTAAACTGAGCAGTGTGTTTTTTTCCCTCATATGTTTGACTGATTGTATTTAATGATGATAATGAACGGGCTGCATTGTCAAGGTAGCAATGCTTAACTGTGTGCGCGCATGCGGCGCTGGCGTAATCACTTGAATTTTTTCCTTCTAACAGTGGAAGAAACAACTTTTAGTCATAAAGATAATCAGAATTGTAAAAGGTTTGCCTTTATTTGTGTACATTCACAATAAAAACAAATCTTTGTGCTTTTGTAAAATAAGCCTAAAGAAAAATAGGATGCCGCTTTCTGCCGTCTGTTTCCTTTCGCGCAGCACAAAAATGAACCGGAACGCTGCGTACTAGCCTACTTGTTACAGTTTTTCTTTCCTTTTCTTAATTTATTATTTAAGTAAAGATATATTTCTCGTATAGGCCTATTTATTCGTTATCTATCTATCTAGCCTAGCTTTATTATGTTTTTCTCGGCTGGCAGAAGCGCTGCAGGTACGTGATGTGATATGATGACCAGGTAAATCCTCATGTTCTGTTGTTTGCTGCTTTTTGCTCATGTAAAATTAATCCCCGGGAAACAAATGTTAGTATTTTTAACGGGTCACAGACACTTATATCCTTCCTAATTTAATTAAATTCTAATTTAAAATAATCTTGTCGGTTAACGGTTAATAATCGGTTAATGAGCGTCGGTTGTCGGTTAGGAAAAATAACCGAAATGAACATTCCTAGTTTGGACCTCAGAAAGTTCTTGCACACAGCTGACGCACTGTTGCTTTAGCAAGTAAGTAAGTTTATGTTGGTCTGCCAGTCATACCTGGACTTCAACTCAATTGAGAGGAGTTGCCAAAATAGACTGGAATGCCATTTTTCAAACACATGGTTATAAAAAGCGCAGCCCCACAAGTCAGCAGTGTAACTGCTATTTTTGCTCTAACACCAAGTACTTTTATAAAACCTACATGAGACATAACAGTTGATGTCAATCATGTCAATCCAAAACGGTATGATTTACTTTCATCAGTGGAGCAAAAAAAGAGAGGATATAAAATTCAAACTGCAATTTTCCATGCAATAAAAGCACAGAGGCTGTCAAGTTCCAAAAGAGAACAAAAAAAAAAGCACAAGAGCATTGTAAACGCTCAGATTGAAATTAAAAATATTATTCACAGAAAACTCTTTCTGCACAAATCCCATTAGGGTTTTTGCCATTTCTTTGGTTAAGACATATGTAGGACACATTTCTCCACAGATGTCAGTCAAATGGGATATGAGGCAGAGTAAATGACGACAGAATCTTCATTTGAGTAAACTAGCTGTTAAAACCCCATCCCATTTGGAAAAACGTGAACAGTTGAACAGATTCAGGGGCAGGATTCAAGAACATCTTAAGAAAAAAGTTAAGAAATTTCATGAGATAAACTCATGAAAGAGGTTTGTAAGAATGTGCAATTCTTGAAAAGTTCTAAAACATATTCTTAAGAACATCTAATTTTTTTAAGAACAATTTTGAGCTTGAGTGCTGTTATCTGATTGTATGGCGGTTCTTGTTGAAAACATGCTGATTGGCTCAATGAAAAACCTCAAAGACAGTCTTTTTACACTATATGCATATTACTGTAATAATCATAATTATGCACACTATTTACAATCACACCAGGCGTTCCATTTCATTCATTTTATGCTCGTCTTCTTGCGCTCTGTCTAGAGTGAAAATCCTAAAAGTCCTAAAATTAACTAGAAAACAAACGAAACAAATAAAATTAAAAAATTAAAATTAACTATAAAATTAAAATCAATTTTCCGATTGGACTCATTTTTAGTAATGTCGTGTCTTCATTTCGAATTCGGCAAAAAGCCACATGGTCAATCATTGTTTTTACATAAACGATCAATAGTGTCACTTCATACATATGACTTATACTGTATGTAGCAAGTTGTCATGTTACTCTTACATTTGGGGATTTAAGATTTAAGCTGAAGGTTATTCTAACTTACTAGACATTATTTATGACGACTTTTAAGAGCATTCTTTTCAACAACAACAAAAAAAGGTTAAGAACATTAAGAAATGTTTTTAGGACTACAAAATATTCTTAACTTTATTCTTAAGTTAGAAAATAAGTAGAAAATAGAAGTTAAGGATTTTATTCTTCACGTTTTGCAAATCCAGGCCCAAAACTAGACACCAGGAAGTTTGCCGCTAATTAAATCTAAAATAAACAGGAACTGCCATCAGCCAGTAAACAAACACACAAGATATAAACTGTTGTGAATGTGCGTTTTGTTTCCCATGATTCTCAGATCTGTGCACACCTCTGGGTCTGTGCCACATCCAGTCTCCCATAACAAACAGCGGTGCTGCTGACTGCGGCCAGTCTGGAATGCAAATTATAAAGCCACGCCATTGGCTCAGACTTGAAAGTTACATTCAATTAAATGTGTGATATTACACAGGAGCAGTACAGTGCTAATCTCTCAAATAATGTTCAAACAAGAGAATCCTGTCACAATAACTCACCCATGGCTCTCCTGGACAATCCTATCAACTTCTGAACATTGTACATGCGTACAGAAAACATGTCCATTTGTAATGATTAAAGGAGAAGTGTGTAATTTCTGTGCCACTAGTTGAACCAATTAGAAAGCAACAATGATAATTTTCAAACACCAGTTTAGTCAAACAGCCACAGTTTTTAAACCTTTTTGTGAAATCATTCTGCAAATGAGTCATTTATGGCCTTTAAAGGGGTCATATGATGTTGCTAAAAAGAACATTATTTGTGTATTTGGTGTAATGAAATGTGTTTATGCGGTTTAAGGTAAAAAAAAAAACACATTATTTTCCACATATTGTACATTATTGTTTCTCCTCTATGCCCCGCCTTTCTGAAACACGTCGATTTTTACAAAGCTCATCGGTCTGAAAAGCGAGGTGTGCTCTGATTGGCCAGCTATCCAGTGCATTGTGATTCGCCGAATACCTCAAGCGTGTGACGGAAATGTTACGCCCCTTACAATACTGTGATGCCGTGTCCCGGCCAGAGCGACGAGACAAAAACATTAAAACCCATTATAAACGAGGCATTTGTTGCATCCAGTGGGGACATAATTACGGATTACAATGACTTATACTGTATTTTTTTTGCATTGCATCGCGCCGCGTAAACAAAACCATATCTGCATTTGTGATCGGAGAAATGACAAACGACAAGCACTACTCTACACTGCTCAAAACTCACGTTTGAATCGTCAGTGGCAAATCCTTTAAATATGAAAACGTACTTACAGTCTGTGAGTCAGAACAGCTGGCATTGTAGTCTACTCTTCCAGGATCAGTAAACGGTCCTCCATTAAATGCGCTGGACACATCTGAATATTTGGGTTGAACTGTTCTGGAACAGTGTTGTAAATACAACTTAACCACTGATTTCTAGTTGTGTCCTCTTTTGGAAGGCCAAATAAAGTATTTTCACTTTCGCAACGAAATACACAGCGTCTTCACAACATGGCGGCGGTGGTGGCAGCAACAACAAAGTTACACCTTCTTTCTTTGCGTGAACATTTGAGCGGCGTTATGCAAATCTTCCCACATTGTGACGTAGACGTGGGGGCGTTTAAATGAGGCGTTTTAGGAGGGCGTGGACCAGTCTAAACTTTTATAAAGAATATCTCTTTGGGTTTGAGACTTTAGTCTTTGCAACTTTAGGGATCTTATCTATTCACGAACAGCTTGTAACACTCCAAAGAGAAAGGAAAACTTGAAATCGCATCATATGACCCCTTTAAATATGAAGCAGGGACCAAAAGGCAAGTAAAACGGTTACAAAAAATGGCCCAAACTCTATGCAAGGTCAGAAAAGACCATAGAAAACATGGGATTTAGCAGGAAAGGGAGGCAGATTTGGCAACACTGACTTGGGACTTCATCTGGGCGGCCTTCTCAGGGTCCACGGCCAGGACGTGCTGGTAGTGGCGGATGGTGTGCTGACGATCCTTATTCTCGGCACGCACATACCTCTTCAGAGCCTGCAGGATACGGTGGGGCTGTGGAGACAGACAGAGAAGATAAATTGACCACAAAGGAAAGAAAATAAAAGGCAGGGTGAGTCAGGAGGACGTCTCCTTATGAGCTGGCTGATCCGTGAATCAGCGCTAGGATCAAAGAGCCACAAGATCCGCAGGACAGAGAAATAACAAGAGGATTAGCACGCGCCTGCTTGTGTGAGTCCAGCTCTGGCTCTCTTTGTGCAAGTCATTTCAGAAAATTAAACATTACATAGGTGCACAATTCAAATTAATATCTGAAGTAACTGAAGCTACCCTCCCCGTTATGAGCTTTCAGCAGGGTAATAGAGGACGGGTAATCCGCCACCATTAAATCACACAGCAGAGAGAAAAGACAACCATCGCCCATCAGAGACTCAAGTATGAGAATTGTAATCTGGTCATTATGAGATGAGAGCAATCCCTCAAGGAAGCATTTATCTCTCAGACTTCCTTTAGTCACTCACAGATCATGCATTTCTCATATGACCACACATGATCCATGCTCATTTATAAACTGGAAGGGATCTGTCAATGCTGGAAGTCACTCCAAGTAAACAATGGGCTGGTATTTACATGCATCTCAAGGGATCTGATCACATGTGGTCAACAGAGACACAGTACCATCCACACCTGGTATTGACATAAATCTTAAATGCATCTCAATCGGTGGGTCAATGACATGATAAATCTATTAAATAATATGCAATTTATACATTCAGTGACTCAAATACACCTCTACTACAATGAGCATATTTTTTTATTTCATTTTGATAAACAAAGTCAGTCAAAAATGTCAGAATGATGCAACTGTCTTGACGTGAAAAAACTTTCATTATGGTGAAAAAAAGCCTCTTAAAAAAATATTGGGAAAGAAAAACATTGAAGTGGTTTGGTAGAATCTATTTATTATAGAATAAGAATAATTCATCATAATTTCTTAATAAAAAGCTTAACATAACTTAAAAATAAAGTTACAAAAATCTGCTTAATATTTGGAAAACATCTGTCAGCCAAACTAAAGTCATGTGGTGCAACCAACATGCAGGACAAAACAGGACACCAGCAGACCTTCATGACTGTGTGTCAAGATCAACAAGTCTCTTAAAATATCAGACCTCTTTATGACAAGGTAAAGTTAGTTCAGGTTGTAAAATGTAATTTAAAAAACTCTCCAAAAATGTTATGATATTTAAACCTTGAAATAGACATTTAAACACTTTTAAAAAACAAAGATGAGTACAGTCACAACACAAGTATTCAGGGTATAACAAAAAATATATTGCTTTCTGATGGTTACACCACAAGACATTTTTTAAGTAATTAAAATAAATATTCTCTTTAAAATTATACAAAAGTTCATTATATTTATTTATATTTGTAAAGTTTTTTATTTATTTATTTTATTATATTAAAAACATGAAACTAACATAAGTATATTTCTAACACTTGTTTTAAAGTAGATTTTAAGTATTTTTTTGACTGTGGACACTCTTATTTGTCATGCTTTTTTATACTACCTCAGAAAGTAGTAGAAGTTATCAGACTACAAAGCATTTAACACCTGCATTTACCACCAAAAAGAATGTTAATTTCAGTTGTAAACAGGTGTATTAGCTTTTTAGATATTGTGCATCGTCTCACCCTTGGTGGATCAGCCTGCAGAGCGGCTAGGTAGTTCTCCAGGGCAAGACGGCGGCGATCGTTCAGCATGGCCTCCACCCGGGCAAGATGAGTCTCCACCAGCTGCTGTTTCTCACTGGCTGCCTCCTCCTCCAAGGACTCCACCATAGCCTGGAAGTGCTGCAGAGAGAATAATAAAACCCCTATAACTAAACAGTCACATCTTAAACGAGATGTCCTCTGGCATGGAAGCTGAGGTTTACCTGGATCAGAGTCTGTCTCTCAGATTTGGGCAGGTTCCTGGCCTGGCTCTCTGCCTCCTCCCACTCCTTCCTCACCTGGTGAGAGCAACATATTCAAATCACTTGGGGCTCAAACAATGGCTGAGATCTCACTAGCCACATGGGAACAACTCCATAACGTCACATGACAACAACTGTTCATTTACAAAATGTAAATAAGTGACATCTCACTCACCCTCTCCATGCGGTTGCGGTGTCTGATCTCAAGTTGCTCCTTGGCTTTCTGGAAACGGCTGTGCTCTCTATCATCAGCTGGGGTCTCGAAGTACACATCCACGTCATCTGTGGGTTGAGGGGTGGGCGGCATGGCTGAGGGAGTAAAGAGAGATTATAAACAAGTGGCACATCCAAGCTCTCGCTCAAACACTAGACAGGAAGCGTTTTTAGGAATCACAGCATTGCAGAAGCATAGGCTGTTGCTGACACTAGGTAAGCAGCAAATTATGCTGTCTTATAAGATTAATTTTTGGCCAAAATGTAAGGGAGGACTTAGTTCACTTAGCTTAGTTAAATATCCATTAAAATGTATTTATTAAGCACTGAAGAGTATCCATAAAAACTATTTAAAATCAACATTTCTTTATATCCAGTTATTGTTTGCTATGTATTTTGAGCTTATTGCAGTATGAAGTTGTTAGCTAATCAATATGCTAACACCAAACTCTATAGAGCGCAACAATCCCAATCATTTACAGAGGAACTGATTTTGAACGGTAAAAGACAGACCTACGAGGAAAGTTAATTGATAGCATGTGTTTTATATATATATATATATATATATATATATATATATATATATATATATATATATATAAAACACACACATACATGCTTTTCGATGTGATTGGCAATGCTTCATGAGCTGTTAAGTACAAAGTCTTGTACCTTTGTCTTTTTTTATCAGTTTGTAATGTTGTGATTCACCTCGCTGGTTTGTGCATTGGCTCAAATCCCTAAGGGAAAATTAATGGGGAAAATACTTTCACAAACACGGCTGCTGAAATGTGGGCAGCACTGTCGCACTCTATTGCAACTGTGAGGATCAGTCAGGCCTTTTGTATGGTTAAAGTGAGGAGTACTATTTGAGTGGTGCACATGAGTGACTATTAGTAAAGTGTTTCAAAACAGTCACTTATGAGGCTGTGATGACGGTTAGGAGGTTTTTTTAGAGGGCAGCCGTCTAGGTAGCCAGTAGACAGTTAGGGAGCCCACAATCTTTTGGAACAGAGCTATAGAGACACTTTTTAAAACACATTTACACACACAAACAAACTTATAGACAGACCTAAAGACAGGTCAGAAGGAGCAAAGGAGGAGCAGTAAGCTTCCCACAGAGAGCTACGACTCAAGAGATGACTTTGTAATTCCCCTGATTCTGAGAGAACCAGACAGTCCTTCATTTCCCATTCCTTTCATCCTGTCCTCTGAATAGCTCTCTTCTGACAGAACCGCTCGCCTTAGCATTTATCTTAAGAGTTACTGCACAGTTCTGCACGCTATGATCAAGATATGAGCTAAAATCAGATTTCCTTAGTATACAGATGACAAGCCTGACATGATTACCCATAAGGCGGTGCACAAAAGGCAACATCAGACATGCATACTGATGAGAACAAACAGTCTTCAGCATCTAGTCTGATAAGAGCACAAGAGAAACCTTGATTTATGAAGGTTAACGTGATAAAAAAAAATACCATATTAAACCCATCATTTCATATTGCCACAGAAACACATGATGATGGTTTCTACTCCTACATGAACTCAAAACATTGGCAGGTTAGAACTGAAAGACACACAAAGCAAAAGCAAAAGCAAAGATTGAGTAACAAAGAATGGGACACTGCACAAACAGAAATAACAAGATAAGAACATATTAGACTGAATTAAATAAGATTAAAGCAATAAAACATTAACTGTGGTAAAAACACATGGCCTTGCATGATTTATTTCTTTAGTAAAAATAACAATTTGATAATATTCCAATGCCAAATTATTATTAGTGATACTACTACTACTACTACTACTACTACTACTACTACTAATAACAAAAACTATTATTATTTTTATTATAATATTTAATAATTGTTATTAATAACAATAGGTAATTACATTAATATAATTAAATAAAATGTTATCAATCATTCGTATTCCAAGGTTGCAACACACTGTTTTAAAGCAAAGGGGGCAGAGTCCTTGGTGACGAGTGTGACTTACTCAAACGTTTACACACGGCCATGCAGTACTCCTCGGAGTCGAAATTGTTGCGGTTGCCGGCACAGCCTCCGTAGATGAAGCGCACACACTTCCTCTGCTGCATGTCGAAGTGCCAGCGAGGCTTAGAGGCGCGGCAGGGGCCGGTCTCTGCCTCCAGAGAACACACATCTAACACAGGAGGGGAGGCACAGTTAGGCAGCTATCAGTAATGCCCTTCAACTATAGAGCGCAACAATGACCGCACACTTTTTTTAGCGGCCAAAAGTGCTTTGCATTTATCCCATCCAAAGTGCACACACACACACACACACTGTGAACACACACCTGGAGCAGTGGGCAGCCATTTTTTTTGCTGCGGCACCCGGGGAGCAGTTGGGGGTTCGGTGCCTTGCTCAAGGGCACCTCAGTCGTGGTATAGTTGAAGGTGGGAGAGAGTGCTGTACATTCACTCCCCCCACCTACAATCCCTGCCGGTACAAGACTTGAACCCCGCAACCTTTGGGTTACGAGTCTGACTCTCTAACCATTAGGCCACGACTTCCCCCATCTTTCCCATTTACTTTCTCCATAGACTTTGCACCTAGAATGTTCATTGAGGAATGACTAAAGGCGACAACTATAACTATATTAACATCCACGCGAGTTTGTTATAGTCAGGTGGATTCTGATTAGCTATTTGCACTTTTATCATTTATCAGCTGGAAACAATTGTTCTGTAAGTGATTCCAACAATATTTTTCCTCTGGTATCATTACATTAGACTTCCCTATTCTCAATTTAGAACAATTAACTTTTTAGTTATAGTTGTCATTATAGTTATCATTCTTGGTATGAACGAGCCTTTAGTATAAAAACATGAACTTCACTGCAAAATATTCAGACACCTACAAACACCTAAGTTTGAGAGTGTAGGGAAATTATTTAATTACATGCTTCACGGCTAGCGAGAACCGCTGAGCTCTACCATAATTTTGTTTCCATGGCAACAGCGACTTCTCTGATTGGTACATTCATCTTTATCAGGATTCTGCGTAATGCAATTTTGGCTATAGCATGCAGATTTTTTAAAAATTAAGTTTAAAATCACACTGACATGTGGCTTTAACAGAGTCACAATCTTTTCTTGCAAGGTATACATTACTGATAAAAGAAACTATATTTCTCTATGGAAAAAATTAATGAGATTTTTATTTCTGGACCCCGGCTGTTGCGCTATATAGGATGTATAGAAAATGCCAAACAATAAAATGTATACTTATTTTCAGAACTAATGTAAAAAATCAATAATTGTAAACCTCTATAGTGAACAGGACCAGAAATATGCATCAATGAATCACTGTGACAGTAAGGAAATAAATGAAGGAAACGGTGTGATACCGACCTTCCAGTTCCTGCAGAGTTGTGTCACCATCCTGGCTTTCAGGGATGTCAGCTTTCTCTTTCTTCACATCCTTTTCCTCACTGTCTCGGTCGTCCTCTTCATCTTCGTACATGTAGTGGTAGTCCTCCTCATCTCCGTCGTCCTCCTGCTCCTCCTCTTCAGCTGTGTCCTCTGGAGTGGGCGGCTCGTTGGCAACAGAATCACTAAAAACAGGATAAAAAGACAATAAACATGATTTAGAAGTAATGTTACATTTTTCTGACATTTTTGCCTTTTTTATTCAAACAGAGTCCCAATCTACACCCTACTCAAAATTTCAAATAGTATTACTGCAAAAGTGCCCTTTTAAAAAACTATATTAAAGCTCTTTAAAATGACAATTTGAATTTATGAGCAGCTTGAACATTTTTTGCAATTTAGCCTTTTTTTGATCCATAGGAGAAAGTGAGTCATTCTTGGAATAAAATGAGAGAAAATGACATGGTTATTATTGTTAAACTAAACCCATAAAAAAAGGTAACATTTCTCATTTTGGTACTAAATACTACTAAAATAA